TATCTCTCTCTCCCTCTCCCTTCCTCTCTGAAATCAATAAAAAGATACTAAAAGATATAGATAGATATAGATATAGGTATAGATATAGATATAGATAGATATATAGATATTTTCAAATTATTGAAAGAGAGAAATCACCAGCTATGAATAGTATATTTAGCACAGTTAACCTTTAGATATAAAAAAGAAATAAAGGCTTTTCCAGGCGTATATAAGCTGAGGGAATTTACCACCATAAGATCTGCAATAAAAGACAGGCTGAGCTCTAGCCTGGCTCAGTAGATGGAGTATCACCCCGAAGAGTGAAGGGTCCCAGGTTCGATTCCAGTCAAGGGCGTGTACCTTGGTTGCGGACACATCCCCAGTGGGAGGTGTGCAGGAGGCAGCTGATCAATGTTTCTCTCTCATCTATGTTTCTGGCTCTATTCCTCTCCCTTCCTCTCTGTAAAAAATCAAAAAAATAATATAAAAAAAAAAAAAAGAACAACAACAACACAACTTCAGAACTCCTTCAAAACCATCACGACAAACCAGGTGTGTGTGTGTGTGTGTGTGTGTGTGTGTGTGTGTGTGTGTGTGTGTGTCAATGGAAAAAATATCCTCGGGAAAGGATTAACCAAAAAAATGATACAGAGAAATGAATGAGAATCACAACAGATATATCAAAATGTGGGGGAGTTATAGCATTACTCTACAGCCTACCTCAAGAAACAAAAATTGCAACTAAAAAATCTAATATTTCACCTTTAAGAATTAGAAAAAGAACTAATGAAGCCCAAAGTCAGTAGAAAATATTAAAATTTTTTAATAATTAAAATTAGAACAGAATTAAATAAAATAAAAGACAAAAGACAATAAAATTTTAATCAAACAAAGAGCTGGTTCTTTGAAAAAATTAATAAAATTGACAAACTCCTGGCTAGACTCACTAAGATAAAAAAGAGAAAAGACTCACATAAACAAAGTCAGAAATGAAAAAGAAGTTAAAATGGACTCCACAGATATACACAGGACTATATAACAATACTATGAAAGTATATACACCACCAAATTCAATACCTTAGAAGAAATGGACAAGTTCTTAGAAATAAATAAGTTTCCTAGATTGAATCATGAAGAATTGGAAAACCTAAATAGACCAGTTAACAGTAAGGAAATTGGAAGAGTAAGCAAAAAACTCCCAAAATGGATGGCCAGGTGGCTCAGTTGGAACACAGTCCCATGCAACAAAAGGTTGGGGATTCGATTCCCAGTCAGGGCACATACCTAGGTTTCAGGTTCAATCCCCAGTCAGGGTACGTACAGGAGACAACCAATTGATGTTTGCTTTCTCATCTCTCTCTCTCTCTCTCCCCCTCTCTCCCTCTAAACATATCCAAGGGTGAGAATTTAAAAAGATATATAGAGATAGATAGATAGATAGATAGATAGATAGATAGATAGATAGATAGATGATAGATAGATACAAAGGGAGACTTGACTGTGGATGGTGAGTACACACTGCAATATACAGATGATGTATTATAAAGCTGCACATTTAAATTTGTATGTTATTAACCAATATCACTCCTATAAATTTAAGAAAAAGAATGTGAAAAGCATTAACTATAAAACTTTTCAAAAGACTATAATATAGTAAACTATTTTAATCATGGCAAGGTGGCTTGGGAGGGCAGGTGTGGGATAGAGGCGGTCAATGGGGGAAAAATACAAAGGGGACATCTGTAATACTTTCAACAATAAAGATAAACTTAAAAATAAAATGATGCCAGGGTAGTCGCATATAAAATCTAAAGAAACTTTGTTCACCAAAAAACACTATTAAGCTTCAAGACCTAAATTAAGTGCTAAAACTATAAAACTTGCAAAAGAAAACATAGGTACAGGCAAGGAGTGGTTGAAGATGGCAACCACCTCCCAAAGACACACTGAATCTACAGCTATATATGGAACAATTTCCTCTGAAAACTACCTGAGCAACTCCTTCACAACAGGCAAATGAGGAAAATGCCCTGTCAAAGCAGGCTGCTCCAGAATGAAGAACAGGAAGGAATGGGGTGCTCACAGATGGACAGGAAGAGACATTACGGTGGTAAAACAGAACAAGTTATTGGTTGCTTTGTTCAAATGCCTATGGATCATGAGAAACCAAGAAGCTAAACACACACAAAACAAATGGGTTGAACTGGAGGCATAAAGAGGGGAAAAAAGGAGAAAAAGAATAGGATAAATAGAAGAGAATTTTAGACATGAAAATGTTAATAATACATGGAAAAAATAAAGCTTGTGCCTAAGAAAAAAGAAAGCAAAGGTATACATCTTTGTAACCTTGGATTATGCAACGGTTTCTTAGATAGGACACCAAAAGCAAAAGTAGTAAAAGATAAAATAAATTCAACTTCATCACAATTAAAAACTTTTGGCCCTGGTGTGACTACCACCCAGCTATTATCTGGAACAGTAGTCATTTATCTCGATCCTTATTCTCTCCCACCTAAGAGGATGCCGTCATCACCATTAACCCATTAAATTCCCAATGGGTTTCTGTCCATTTCTGACTTTTCTGGGGGATTCCTTCTGTTTTCCATACACTGGGAACACACTGTTTTATTTATTGAGGCTTAACATTATTTTGTAAAATCTTGCAGAGCCTGATCTGTAAGCACTAGCTACTTTTCAAATAATTTTAAGTTTTTCTATTGTTTAACCTTATCTGGGGGCAGAGGGGCACGCTAAAGTGAAGTTTCTGGCTCCAAATTAAAATGTGAGAGCTGCCCTGGGTGGGTGGCTCAGCTGGTTAGAGCACTGTCCCATACACCAAAAGGTTGTGGGTTCAATTCCCAGTCAGGGTGCAACCTAGATTGCAGGTTCGATCCCCAGTTGGGGCACATATAGGAAGCAATGGATCAATGTTTCTCTCTTTTTCTCTCCCTTCCTTTCTCTAAAAATCAATAAACATGTCCTCAGGGTGAGAGCCATTTATATATGGAAGATTCAATGGACATGAGCCTACTAAGGTCCCAGAACTATCTTTTCAGTTGGGGAACTAAAGACTAACAAAGATTATCACTTTAAAGTGGATAATGATGAAAATGGGCACCAGTTATCTTTAAGAATGGCTAGTTTAGTGCTGGTACAAAGGATGAATTGAGCATTGTTGGAAAAAAAAGGCAATGAATTATGAAGACAGTCCAATTTAAGTAATACTGGCAACTGAAACCATCTGTACAACCAGTGTTTCCCTTAGTGGCTTTGAAATAACACCACCTGTGGTCTACACATGCTTCAGGGCCTGTGCATATTAGCGGACAGCAATCAGCAGCTGTGGAGGAAGATGCAGAATCAGAAGATCTTTTAAGAAGAGGAGGCTGTCAAACTCCCACATAATCTGGAAAGTGATCTACCCCTAGAAGTGGTAGCAAGGTTCCACAGATAAACATAAAACGTAATGATGAAGATATTGAATATAATGAGGAGGAGGAAACTGAAGAAAGAGTTCCAGTAAAGAAACCTATACATATCAAACTAGAATGAAAAAGACTAAAAAATAAAATGGGAAAAACTCCTAAAATACAAAAGGACCTAGCTCTGTAAATGACATTAAATAAAAAAATACAGGCAATCGAGAAAAACCATATTGAACAGTCCTGGTATTGTGAGCCCAAAAATGAAGAGAGAGAAAAAGGAGAGACAAATAAAGTTCATACTGAGCATCATCAACAATTCACACTGAAATCTTCTATTTAAATATCAATCCCCTTTTCAGAATGGAAGCAATCTTACTCCTAACACTCAAAAAAGCAAAAAAACACACAAACTTTTACATGAATGTTATAGAAACATTATTCATAACAGCTAAAAGTGAATACAACGCAAATGTCCATCAACTAATGAGTGAATAAACAAAACAGTATATACATGCAACATTTTATTCAGCCATAACAAGAAATGAATTGCTGATACAAGATACAGCACGGATAAAGAGTGGAAACATACTAAATGAAAGAAACACACTAAATGAAATGTCACATATTATATGATTCTATTTATCTGAAATGTGCAGAATATGTAAATCCATACAGACAAAAGAGATTATTGGTTGCCAGGAGCAGGGACAAGGGGGACATAGAGAGTAATTGCTAATAGGTATGTGGTTGTTTTTCAAAATAATAAAAATGTTCTGGAATTATATTGTGGTGATAATTGCACACCTTTATGACTACATTAAAAGCCACAGGATTATACACTTTAAAAAAGTCACTATTATGGTATGTGAATTTTTTATCTCAATAAAAAAGTCCCTACACACATACCACAAATAAAGAAAAATGACAAGCCACAATACAGAAGTTATCTGCTATACACATCAATGACAGGAGACTTGAGGAAATACTACAAATAATAAAATGACCAATTGAAAGAAAAACATCCCCATATGGAACACAAATATACTACAAACAATAGAAAATAAGCTCTATCTCATTCCTGATGAGGCAAAATGCAAATTAAAACCACAGTGAGAACTATTTCACATCCAACTGAAAAAAACTATCAAATGAAGGCAAGGCTATACACAAAATGGAACTTGTACATGCTACCACTGAGAATGTAAAATGGTACTGACATTTTAGCAAATTTGGTATAATCTAGTATACACAAAGATATGCATACTCTCTGGCCAAGCAATACTTTTCCTGGGCACATGTCCTAGAAAATCTGTTTCCACATGAACCTAAAAATATAGCACTAGTATATGAAATAGCAACAAAATTAAAAACAATCCATCCAATAAGATAAAAAATAAAATGAATAAATAAGGTTGCTATTAGCATACAATAAAATAATACAACTGAGGAAATTAATGAATGAAACTAAGAAAACAACAAAAAAGTCAGAATCACAGAATAAATTTGAAATGTATAGAAAAACCAACATTATCTTCTTTAAAGAGACAAACATTCATTCTTAGAATACATTAAGCAGTAAAATCAAACACTTACTTGCTTCTTTTTCAGTTTAAGGATCTGCTGCTCCACTTTAGCAATTTCTCGATCTACACGATCCATACTCTGTATTAACTCTTCCTTTGAAAGTTTTGAAGGTGAAGCATTTTGATCATCTCCACATGGTTGCCCAGAGATTGGAGAGGATGGAGGTTCATGTTTGCCTCCAAATGCTGGATCCTTTAGAGAAGAAAATCAAGAACAATTTATTTATTTTTTAATATATATTTTTTAATTAATTTCAGAGAGGAAGAGAGACAGAGAGATATAAACATCAATGAAGAGAGAATTATTGATCAGCTGCCTCCTGCACAACGCACTGGGGATCTAGCCCACAACCTCCTGGGTTCATAGATCAACACTCAACCACTGAGTCAGTCCAGCTTGGCAGAGAACAACTTCTTCCTCACTAAGAGCCAATGGTAGTGTCATGATTCTCTTAACTCAAAAAGTCAATTTTAAAATGTCAAACATGGTCACTGGCTTCAATTCAACATGAACAGGACTCCCCAATCTGGGGTGCAGTTAAGAAGGAAACTTTATTTAGTGCAAACAGCTCAATAGTGCTATAGTGTGACTTTTAAAACAGCAAGGCTATGAAGCTGCCCTTGGGCCAGGTCCCTCTTCACTTAGGCAGCCCTGCTCTGCTCCACTGTGCTCTGCTCCAGGATGGTCCAGTGTCTCAGCTCTAGCAGAAGAAACAGTCTTCAGTGGAAAGTGCACTCTCCAAGTCAGAAGGATGCCGAATTATATAGAAAAAAGTCCCTGTTCTCAAATGAGGACTCAGAATCCTTCCAGTTTGACTGGCTCAAAGGCACTATACAGAATGGTCAGAATAGAGCTGCTATGATTGATTGGAGCTGCACAGCTCTGACTGAATGGGGAAAAATCTCAGTCCTATTGGTTGAAATAAAAGAAACTCCTTCAGAAGGACTGGCTCAGATGGCAGAAACACAGTGCAAGCAGGCAGTTCAGTGTGGATACAGGCAGTTTAGTGCAGGCGCTCCTTTGTAAAGTACAGTTTGTATGAGAGGCCCCTGTGAGGAAATGGCTGCTAGGGCCTGTTTTGTTTTGTTGTTGGTTTTAGCCCAGTTAGCCACAAGGAGCCCTTCATAGTAGATGTATTTTTCCCTTTCTGAGTTCACAAAAACAGCAGAGCCATGTGTACTATATCTCTATATGGAAGTCCTACAACAGTAATTTTTATACATACATCCTCCACTGTGATGTTTATATCACTTTTATAATTCAGACATATCATTCACTATTTTGAAGATTCTAACAGCCATACAGAATGAGGTGGCAGGTTGACTAACCAACCTTCGGTATAACAATACAGAGACTATAGAGAATTTCTGGGGAAATAATAATGCAATCAAGACAAAGGAAGATACCAATTTCTCAGCCATTTTCTTGCAATGATTCTTCAAAAGATATGAACATGTAGGCTGGAATATGGTATAAACTACAGGTGAAAATCTATGTGCCCACCCAATTTAACAACTACGATATGGTCAAGAGTTCCTATCATAAAGTTTTCAGGCTTTCCAAGAACCAATAATATGGCACAGAAGTTAAGAAAATTACCTAGGAACTTCTGTTGCTACTATCACCTACGCCTATCCTTATAAAGAGAAACTAACCCTGCTTACACTACAGTGCATATAACATCTCTTTAGCCAAATATAACATAC